GACAACATGGTGTAATGTCTCTCCAGAAGTCTTCCACCCACTTGTGGAATAGACGCCACATCAAGTTGCTGCACTTTGCCAAGCTAGAGGGGGTCCTACATGATACAATGTACTTATCCCATGACTTTTGGCACTTGAGGTAATTAGAATGATCATGGATTCATAAAGGAGGTGTACACAGGGCATGTAGCACACATGGGAGAGAAGAATGCATACGCACTTTTATGGGAAAGCCAGAAGGAACACCTTGATGTAGATGGATAATATTAAAATGGAACTTACAGAAATAGGATTGGGTTGTATGGACTGAATTCATCTGGCTCAGGACAGGGACCAGTGGTGGCCTCTTGTGACCATGGTAATGAACCTTCAGGTTCCATGAATTATTGTGAAATTCTTGAATAGCTGTGTCTGGTGGCTTCTCAAAGACTTGGCCCCATTGAATTAGTTTAGCTGGAAGGCAAGACAAAATTATTCATTATACCCCTCGTTATACAAATTTCTGAAAATTGGGAAAGGCTTAATGTGCTGTATGAATATCAAAGAATGACACTGGCTTGACAGTCATGAAATGGCCAACTTCAATACCATCCCAACCTCAACCATATGTCACATTTGAATCCCAAGACTGCCAATGTAAAATTTCCAAATGAAATACCCTATGACTAATCTCTTGTGAGAAACCTACAGAATCATATGCTCTAATCATAACTATTAAAACTTTTGTGCTTGAACATGACAAAATATTATTTCAGATTTAGTTATGTCATTAATATCCTCAATTTTCATACCTAGTCTTCCAGCTACATGTACTAAATTACACATTAATTCTGCTGTGTATAAATTATGTTATTCTATACACAATTCTATAATGGTTTCCTGATACTATAGAAGTTTTTCAATCATAGTAGGCAATATGAAACCTCAATGTTTGTGGGCAGATTAACAAACCAACACATTTTTATGCATTAATATATAGGAATCAGTTTGGCTGTGCTGTTGTAATTCTATTCACTATTTTAGTACTTCTTACAGTAACAAAAGGCATGTGAAAAGCCTTCATGTATTATTTCTATTTTGGCAGTACTGATATTTTGATATGTGAAATTTGGTATGTATCACTGAATATGGATTAGTTTATAAAGATTTGGAAGATTTTCTTCCACACGGAAATGTAATTAACATGCCATGTTGACCAGTTTGGTAAAACTGTGTCCAAATGCTCTAATCTGAAATTCATATGCTACCATTTGTTATACATTTCATCAGTTACCCTACACTACATGTGTTACAACATATGGAGCTTCTGACCAGATATGCTACAGATTTTTCATCTGGCATCTGTGAACGTGGGATTACTACGCTCCCACTGTTTCGTGTATGGCCCCTCATCAGTAGTAAGTCTACCTCATGGGTGCCCTCACATCGGACTACTGGTACTCTCCTTTACCAAGCTGGGATAAGACCAGGGAGACACTGGATGCAGTATATTACAACAATCTTTTGTGATCACACTAATGCAGTGCCAGAAATTACAAATAATTCATTCATGATGTGCAAATTCACTAATATGGCAAACTGCTGCATAAAACATCAGTCCAGTCTTTGCTAGAAACTGTACATGGTGATTCACCCTCAGGACACCCCAGATTAATGACTTTAAATTAATGTTATATTTTAGCGTCCTGTTGCACTGATTTAAGTCCATGATTTATTTTATCCGTCTTCTAGTGCATACATTTATTTATCCCCTCTTTTCACTCTCACTACATGTTTCGGCACCAATGTGCCATCTTCAGGTGCTGATCCAATCCACGACAAACTAATTCATTGCATGCCTTGTCTTTACATACTAAAATAACTAAAATATATATTTATCATATATACTGACAAATGTCAAGTGTTAAAATACTAAAACTGTACAGCATATTTCTTTCCTACGTCGTGTTTCATTACGCGAGTCACGTCTATCATCCTCTGTTGGAGCACTCTNTAGGAAAGAAATATGCTGTACAGTTTTAGTATTTTAACACTTGACATTTGTCAGTATATATGATAAATATATATTTTAGTTATTTTAGTATGTAAAGACAAGGCATGCAATGAATTAGTTTGTCGTGGATTGGATCAGCACCTGAAGATGGCACATTGGTGCCAAAACATGTAGTGAGAGTGAAAAGAGGGGATAAATAAATGTATGCACTAGAAGACGGATAAAATAAATCATGGACTTTAAATTATACAATAATTTACCAATGAAAACAAAACATATTGCTAGATGCAGATATAGTTGGTTTACAGAAGACACTGAATTCAGATGTGCAACTGGACACGTGTGTCCTGTGAGTTCATGTATCCTGGATAGGAGAAATGAACCTTCTTATGAAAACCATGTCAATATTACAAAGCGCACAGTATTACCAAATTTTGTTTTCCATGGTAAATTATTATACAATTCATAATTATTATTATTCCAGGCCTCCTGAGTGAACTATTCTCTATATTGCAATACTGCAATAACTATCAGACAAAAGTCTATATTTCCAAGGAAACTTTATCCATCCATCAGAAGAAAGTGGTGCCTGATTAACACTGTTGCCTCTAGTTTTGATACACTAGTTATCATCCTGCGGATGCAGGTTGATCCTTTTTGTAGTATTCAGTGACAATTTATTTGAAATATGATATGCAGTGTTAAATGTGAGGGTGATCTTAAAAAAATATGGTGGGAGGGCATGGACTGAATTCATTTGGCTCGGTATAGGGACCAGTGGCAAACTCAGGTGATCATGGTAAAGAACTTTCAGGTCCATAAAAGGCAGGAAATTTCTTGATGATCAGAGTGACTAGGTTCTCAAGAAGGATACTGTTCCACAAATTTGTTTACTTACATGGTACTAAGTGTCATTAGTAACAATTTGTACATAAGTTTTAAGAATTATATATTTTTTATAGTGTTCACAGTTATTGTGCCTATTATTTGTAAACAGAAATTTAATGACATGCCATGATCATGGGAAACCATGAACTACCTTACACATTCCTTGCAAATATTATCTGCATAAGCAGTAACATCACTTGTCCCTAAAATCTTCCCGTTAGAAGAGGAACGGATATCTTTCAGATCAATATAGTCAATTGTCTTTGCTGATTTCAGACTTTCATGGTGATTAATTATTGACCTTAACTCTTTTCTAGAGTTTTTACATGTGTGGTTGTGTGCACACAATGTTGTAAATGTTTCAGAGGTACATGCTGCTTCCACCTTCAGGGTAAAAGTATGTGATGGAGAGTAGCTTTACATATACACAGCACTGTTTTGAGAAAAATGGTAGAAAGTAGGATAGTGTGCGAATTTGTGCACCTACGAGGTGTGTTCAGGAAATAACGGGAATTTTAAAATTTCGCGGGTTTGGAGAGTCCAATTGTCAAAATTTTTTTTTTATTATGTTGGTATACATGCCCCTGAAGTACAATAAAATTTTCAGCTGTATTCATTGCTTACTTTGTCTGTGGCAGCCGCTAAGGTTAGACGTGTTTTTATGAGCTTGGCGATTTTCGTTTGTTAAAAGAAATGGATCAAAGAATTTGTATCAAATTTTGCGTAAAAAATGAAATAAAGTGTTACAAAGTGTGTGAAATGTTAACAAAGGCCTATGGTGAGTCTGTTATGAGTAAAACAAGAGTTTACGAGTGGTATAAGCGTTTCCAAGATGGCCGTGAAGACGTTGCAGATGACGAGCGCCCCGGACGCCCCAGCACATCAACAACCGATGAAAACGTGGAAAAAGTGAAAGCAATGATTATGAATGATCGCCGAATCACAATCAGAGAAGTCGCTGATGATGTTGGCATATCGATTGGCTCATGCCATGAAATTTTTTCGAATGTTTTGGGTATGAAACGCGTGGCAGCAAAATTTGTTCCAAAATTGCTGAATTTTGAACAAAAACAGCGGCGAATGGAAGTTGCTCAGGAATCACTAAAGGAAGTCAACGATGATGCAGAATTACTGAAACGTGTTATAACAGGTGACGAAACATGGGTTTACGGATATGACGTTGAAACTAAGGCTCAATCGTCTCAGTGGAAGCATCCTGGATCGCCAAGACCGAAAAAGGCTCGACAAGTGCGTTCGAACGTGAAGGTTATGCTTACTGTGTTCTTCAATTTTAATGGCATAGTGCATCATGAATTCTTGCCTCAAGGTCAAACGGTCAATAAGGAGTACTACCTGAAAGTTCAACGCCGTTTGCGTGAGGCAATCCGAAAAAAACGCCCGGATTTGTGGAAAAACAATTCATGGCTTTTGCACCACGATAATGCACCTGCTCACACTTCGTTGCTTGTTCGTGAATTCTTGGCCAAAAACAATACTGTAACGATGCCCCAGCCTCCATATTCGCCAGACATGGCTCCGTGTGACTTTTTCCTATTTCCAAAAATAAAGAGAACCTTAAAGGGCCGTCGTTTTACAAGCATAGATGACATTAAAAGCGCATCGCTGAAAGAGCTAAAGGCTATCCCAAAAATCGAGTTTGAGAAGTGTTTCGATGATTGGAAGAAGCGCTGGCGTAAGTGCATAATATCGAATGGGGACTATTTTGAAGGCGACAACATTAATGTAGACGAATGAATAAATATTTTTTCCAAAATACGGAAATTCCCGTCATTTTTTGAACACACCTCGTATGTCAGCAGGAATAAAGGTCCACGAACTTCTGTACAGCCAGCCCTTTTAAAGGCCAAGAAAATGACACATCAATCAAACCTTCAACAACTGATGTTCTTGAGCTGACAACCAAGTGCTCGCCAGAGAAACTGCTACTTAACTCATACTGTGGGCGAATGGTGGGGAAATCACAGTGAGGAGACGGTAGGTTTCTGCACACCATGCCCCCTTTCCTTTCAAAACAGAATTATATATATAAACACACATACAGCAACTCACCAACCTACATACTTCAACCCTGAGGAGCGAGGCAGCATGTACCTATGAAACATTGGCAACAGCCCATGACAACATGGTGTAGCAACCCGAGAAGAGAATTAACATCAGTGAAATATCTGTAAGAAATTTATCTTTATATGCATTACTGTCACATCACTTTATTCTGGTTTCTTCGAGTGTATGTTCTTCCTATGTCTACTCAGGTTATTAGGAGACTTGAAGAATAGATTACATTCATCGCAATGATAAGGTTTCTCTGATGTATGATTCCTTTTATGGCTTTTTAGGGCAGTTGAATCAGAATAGCGTGCACCACACACATCACATGCATAAGGTTTCTCCCCTGTGTGCAGTCGCAGATGTCTGGTCAAGCCACTCCTGTCAGCAGACCGCTTCCCACAGTAGCTGCATCTGCAAAGAAAATAAACAGATAATATTTATGAATGGAAACTGAACTGCATAAAATGGCAAACAGTTTTTCTGGCAGAAAGCAGTCTTCTGGGATTTGGCACCGTGTATATGTGGTGTTAACCGACGTTTCNACCCTGAAGATGGGGGCGATACGTTCCTCCGAAACGTCGGTTAACACCACATATACACGGTGCCAAATCCCAGAAGACTGCTTTCTTCATAGTCACCGTCGTGAAAGCCTCAAATCTTACACAGTTTTTCTGGCAGCTACACAGTCAGTAAAAGAATTCAATATAACATTGCCTATGGATATTAAATCACATAACAGTACAATCTATCAGCTTTGTCTATCCTCTCATTGCTAGACTTAAATTTACTGTGCCTACAGAGTAAAAATATAAAAGTGAAATTTTCCCCTGTGCATTATTAAGCACCATGTCACGAAGATGTACAAGAGAGTGGAGGTATAGTTCCACCAGTTGGCACTAGATGGATGTGAGTGATCAGCTTCATAGCCCATGCTGCTTTACCCCATAAGAAAAAGTCCCCAGTACCCATTATATAGGAGGCCGGGTTGGCCCCACAGTTAATTGGATGCTGTCAAGAAAAAAATCCCTTGCATCTGCTCAAAATCAACCTTACTCCACCTACAAAATGAAAATAATTCCTATATTTTGTGCTCATTCCAACTCGTATTACATCTATATGAGTCTCTGATTTTGAAATGTAACAAATGAATGAGGTAAGAGAAGGTAAAATTGTCCGTGCTTAACTAATTAAGCACTACGCCATGAAGGCGTTATGGGGCAGTGGATGTATAGCTCCACCATTCTTGACCCTGGCACTGGATTGAGGTGAGTGGTCAGCTTCATCCCCTTGCTGCTTTGACCCCAGTACCCACTGGATAGGAGGATGGGTGGGCCTCAGAGACAATCTGGATGTTGTGGGGTAGAGAAAAATGTCTTTCCCCTGCTGTGAATCAAACCCCAGCTGTCCAGCGCATAGCCCATTGGTATACTCACTGGGTTATCTGGCTCCAACATATATTTTAATTCGCGTAAAAATAAGGATGAAACAAAAACCACCATTGTGACATACTGGTGATCGTGACATTATCTTGGATCAAATTATGTGACTGGATTTTTAACATGAAATAATTTTGTCGGCAAATTTCAATGGAAATCATCAATACAACATTTCATCAAAATCTACTACAGTAATTCTGAGGATGAAACGAGCAGAAAGACATTACCTTTTCATTCACTGTATGCAAACATATAAAAAGTATCCAAGGCACAGAATATTTAAGAAAAACTGTAAAATGTATTGTTTTGCAAAAAGTTAAAGTATCTGAGTGAATAAAGTGCTGAACAAATATTTCACTGTTGTGGAGACTCATATAATAAACTCATGAACTCACCTGAACTCCTTATCAACACGGCAACCTATCTTGGAATGGAGTTTATATGACTTCTTCTGTTTGAAAGTCTTTTTGCAGTCACCGCATTCAAACTTTCGATCAGTATGAGACACCTGATGCTTCTTCACTAATTGGCGAGTCTTAAAGTACTTCTCACAAAGTTCACACTGAAAAGGTTTCTCATCAGAATGACTGCGACGATGCACAAGAAGGTAGCTGCTTGTTGTAAAAGCTTTACCACACTCAGGACACTGGTATGGCCTCTCACCCGAGTGAGTGCGGTAATGTGTCACCAGTGCTGACCTCGTTGTGAAACTCCGTGAACAGGCGTCACAGGTGTAAGGCCTCTCCCCTCTGTGGGTACGCATATGAACCTCAAACACAATACATAAATTAAACTAGACTAAGACAGCAAATACAATGGCATTAACATACAGGTATCCACCATTCAATCAAATCTGATGTACCATATATGTTCAAATGGTAGATTATGATACCAATAATGGGTAAGCACTTAAACATATATATGAAAAGGTTAAAATACAATATTTAAAACTGTAAATGTGTACTAGTTAAATAACACCAATTGGCTCCAAAATTGTTAATGGGGACAGACATACAGATATATTGCCAGCCCCCCTCTGCATAGAAGGCCGGACTCCTGAGCCAGGCTAGGTATTATGGAGAAAAGAGAATCTCTGGCCCGTCTGGAATCCAACTCCATTCCTCAGCGTCCAGTCCACAGCCTAGTTACTGTACCAACTAAGCTACAGCTAATTTAAAATCACAAAATTCTTTCTTTGTCAACTGAAGTTTTTAAGTGTTATTCACATGGACACCAATACAGGGAGTGACAAAAATTAAATGTTCTCTTTTCTGTCTCGATGTACCTTGATGTTCGAATTCTTATGTATTTTTTCATTTTTTTTTATTGTTAGTGGGGTGGGACCAAGTCCCTTGTACTGCGGCCACTTCTGGCCTATTGTACCAGCCCTAGATGATAGGTGAGGGTGACTGTGGAGCAATTGGTGGAATGAAGATTGGCAGGGGAAACCGAAGTACTCAGAGAAACCCTGCCCCAGCGCCACTTTGTCCACCACAAATCCCACTTGACCAGACCCGGGATCAAAAATTCTTATGTAACTACATCTTCATAACTTAATATTTTTACTGAAAAACTTTCATAAATCATATTGTTGAGGATCAAATTAAGGGATTACGTGGCTACCTGTAAACCATATGCGGAGTGGTCAAGGAAGAGCTAAGACTATATGCCAGGGAGTAGTACCAACAATTGAAAGAACAGAAAATAGATGGTGGCAGCTTGTATGACAGAAGGAAACGCCGATATAGGAGAATCCTAGCTAAGGGTAAGCTAGGATGGTTGCGTTAACGCCTTACAGCATAACCAGTGGAGGCAAGGAGGGGTACCTGCACACCCCCGACGGCGCGACGTTACCAGGAGTACCAGTTTACGACATAACTAGTGGAGGTGAGGAAGGATACCTCCACGGCCCCTACATGCGGAGTTACAGTGGGGACAGAGGCGGG